ATATACGACAAGTTTTCTTTACTATCATTTATTTGAAGGAATTCGTTTTGGCCGTCGTCGTCGTGTTGCCGTCCTACATGCATCTCTCATCAGTAAACTATCATATCACGCCGGCCCTAAGTCAATATTACAGCAAAACTTGATTTTCTTTCGTATAATTATGATATTTCCACTTCATTATTATATATTATAGGGCCTATTTAATTATAAAATTAAAACTCACAACTATTTTATAGCTTTAATTTCCTAATTGTTTGGGATTTTTTTGGATTTTTTAATTCGGCAAAACACTCAACCCGTACAATTTAACTTTTTTAGATATACGAGTATATATCAGATCAGTCTCAGTTAGGTTATCCCCTACGGCTGCATGCTATATACGAAGACTAATTCACTAATTGATATGCTCCGTGCAGTTTTCTTATAGGAACATGGACACATGGTTTGGAAACTTTTTTATTAATTTAATTTCAAAATTAATGAAGGTTATTTTGTGCTTCAATTATAAATTTATGCTATATACTTATTTTCAGAGCTCGACTGTTGAGCCTGAGGATTATTATTCTCATAATAACCCTTTGCTCTAATAATGGAACAGTTTGCACAAAATTGATGGTGGTTGTAGTTGTAGCAGTAGGCACAAATGGTTTGGGAACCGTCAGCCGCACTCAAAATGATGGTAAATTTTTTATTGACTTTTTATACCTAAAGTATGTGTACTCCATCTATTTAAATAACTTCCATGTATTTGCCATATGATTTGATTTCTAACCTAAAATCTTGCAAGCCATTTTTGGGCGACCAACGGTCAAAAATAAATTCTAGGCTTACTTTGAAATTGAGGCAATGAATCGGATTAAAGCACTGATGTCCATTGTATTATCAGTGTACTGCAATATATGCTCCAAGGGTTTTCACTTCCGCTACCCCCGAGAGCAGTTTTCCGCGTAGCGGAAGTGTTATACATGCCTGTTATTATTAGAGTTTGGAATGACCCTTAAAATAAGATATTGCAAAGTGACAAACGTCAGTAACTAAACAAATACAGCCAAATATGTATAGGTTTTTTGAGGCAACGACGGGTGACAACACATATCTAAGAGGTGACAACACATATCCCCGAGGTGCCTCAAAATAACGTACTTATTTTTCACATTGCAAGGTCGCGTTAATGAGTCAGAATAGAAATAATTCTTAATGCCATATTGCCTTCGTTATGTTGTTTTTTCTCATTTTTTGTGCTGCAAAGACATTGCGGGTGAATATTAGAATGGATTATTACTACGGAAATTGATTAGGGGGGAATATTGAATATATATTCGGAAAATAAGTTATTATAACGTACCCTTAATTCTCAAGCCGTCAACCTTGTATCGAACAGACCGACCACGCTTGACTGACCATTCCTTTGCAATAAGTTAATGACTATAAAATTGAAAATATATTTCCTGATCACAACACAGGCAAAAGTTTAAGCAGTTTAATTCACCATGATGCAAGATGAACATTGAGTTGACGGAGTGCATGATTGGGGCTCTATTTGCCCGCGCCCGCCTATGCCTTCCTTTTAACGAGGGAAGGAAGGAAACATTGAGACCAAAATAGCCCAGACTTGGCATACAAAACTATCTTCGAATTTTCGCCTTTAACGCATTTCTTTCACGATTAATCGATATCCCCTGCAAGAATGATACCGTATAACTCTCAAAACAACGATGATTTAATATCATCAAAGAGCTTTTAATTTAAAAATTCGAAAACAAACCAAAACGATTCACAAACGTTATCGGGGGAAAACCAGTGCAAGTTTATTTATTTAAATTTAAGAAGTTTAGTCAGTAAAAATTAAACGGATAGTTTGTGGAGAAAATTTGAAATGTTTGTTGATATTCGTTGTCCAATCAGGATTGAGTGTATTTTGAGTTGTTCAACGACTTCCGCTTTTTGCACAGCAAACCTGGCGCGCGGATATATTTTGGCCGAATTTTGTCATTCCCTCACGGATTTTAGTGCGAATTTAAGCTCTTTGATTAAAGCATCGTTGTTTTGAGAGTTACACGGTATCATTCTTGCAGGGGATATCAATTAATCTTGAAAGAAATGCATTAAAGGCGAAAAATCGAAGATAGTTTTGTGTGACATATGCCAAGTCTGGGCTATTTTGGTCTCAATGTTTCCTTCCTTCCCTCGTTATAAGGAAGGCACAGGCGGGCACGGGCAAATAGAGCCTGGGCTTCCTGTGATTAGGGAGGGGGGGGGAGGCTGACTCGTACCCAGTCGTCAATTACGATTTATATAGATCAGTTGACGGAAGTATGCGTTCATTCCCATCATGCACCATTATTGGCTTTCTTGTAATATACTTACGTATCTTTGAAAGCTTATGACCTGAGCTTTCACATGATATGTTTTGTGTCATTGAAAATATGACAACATCCCCTGAAAATTGCATAAGTTTGCACAAAATATCTAAAAAAATTTATAACGTTTTGGAAATAAACTTCGTGCGACAAAACTGTTTAGAATTGTCCAAACATTACTGTGGCGAAAAGTTAGCTTATAGGTAATATAGGGAATGTGTGCACGCAGCATGTGCAAAGTTTCGTCGCAAACGTAACCAGTTGACTTTCAAGTAATTGGGAGCACGCGCGCGCATGCACGCCACTTATATAAGGCTTGGCTTTTGCCATAAACCAATGAAATTCACGATTGGATTAATTATGACATCCGGAATGAGTGTGGGGGTTATATAAAATCCCATAGGGGCACATGCATGCATGCACCATGAAGATATCGGACTCGGACGCTCGAGCAGTTCCCGCAAATGCATGACTATATATAAGTCGTCTCGTGTCTCGTAAACGGATGTAATTCAGCATATAGGCCTATATATAAATATACAATAATTACAATATAAATTTGCAATTCAAATCACGAACGATAGTGAGCGCCATATTAACTCCTATTACACAACAGAGCGAATGTCCGCAATGTTTACATTTTGTACCACGTGACACCTTTGGAATTTACACGTGCGTTTTACCGCTGAAGTGGTGGATTATTATCACCTCAATTCACGCTTCGCGTTTCGGTGAATATCCTTGCACTATTTACTCCACTTCGGTGAATAATTGTCACATATCCTTAAATATTTCATCCCTTTATAGAAAGTGGACCAATGGAGTACATTCCCGACGAATTGTGACGAATAAGGACCATTATGCATACCATATGGGGGCCGCTTAAAATAAGAGAAAATTGGATCCATTATTTTTACAAAAAATTACAATTTAGAAGTTATTGAGTGTTTAGTTTAATTTAACTTCGTGATAAACATTAATTTAATTAGTGTTTCGTGAAGGTAATCTGAGAGTAAAATGTTTCTACCAGTTGTAATGAGATTTGTAATTGTTCTCGTCTGTTAGAACGGTCGTTAAAAGTCTTTAAACAAGGCAGATTATCTGTATAATTGTCAAATAAAACTCTTTATTCCTTCTCGATTTAAAAAAAAACAAAACACGCTGTCTTAAAATCAACACTAAAGAAGACGCCTGCATTACGCAAGCGCAGCGGTTATATATGTCTCAATACTTTATATTATCGGGAACGATTCGTTCCTTAACAGTAAGAGTAAATAAATTGTAGAATATTTCTTTTTATATTATAATATACTAGCAAAAGAGAAACTAGAATTAATTCGTTGAAGGAACACAATGTCAATGAAATCTCCGATAACATCACAGAATAAGAAGGTACAGCAGAAGCGTCACTCAAGCAAATATTTGTCCGCGTTTTTACAAGCGATCCTGGCTAGTACAACCGGCACTTTGTACCTACCAAAACCTGATAAAAACTTCCGGTTGTACTAGCCAGGATGGCGTGAGCTAGTTAAAATTTTTGTGGACGTAAAACAATAAGGGAACCGACTCGAGTGACGATTCTGCTGTACCTTCTTATTCTGTGATAACATGCAGCAAGTACGTGCAATCTTAATTAATTAAACAAGGTTCATGCAGACAACATGATAATCTAAGCTGCAAATCCCATCACAAAACCACTCGCCCCCGCCGCCCCCCTCCAGGCTCTACCATTATAACATTGTTTCATTTAATGTTAGAACACTTGGTGCCCAGCGACAGTGTTTCAATGCAGGAGGGATGATTTTTTGACAATCCATTTTAGTTTGAATGCAGGATTGTTTTAATAAACGCTTCCACAGTTAACGATGCCATAATGAAACATATGTAATAGTGCATGCAAGAAATCGACATTTGAAAGTTTGAGCAAGACAATGAAGTACGAAGACAAAGTTTACAATTCTACGCGTAATCTTGCGCATACTCAGTTAGGAGTCACTGGTGGTTGCTCAACGTGTCTGATCATATCTCGCTGCTTATGAATTATGAATCATACTGACCTTACCCTGACCCACACAAAAAAGCGGCGAACTCATACCCTGTATTTGTCCTTTTGCCTTCGTTCAGACAAACTTAATTCACAACGAATTTTGCCAGGAACTGCGTTCTCAACGAAGACGAAAGAAGGAAGACGGGTTATAAATTCATCGCTGTTTTATCCGGATCAGGGTAAGGAGTAGGGTGGTATTAAGAAAAAGCTAGATATGAATCTATAACCCGTCTTCGATGAACAACCACAGTTGAATAAGTTGACTCCAAACTCAGTGTGCGCAAGATAATGTGCAGTCGGGCAACTGACTACATCTTCGTCGAACTACAGTCCGTTCCTTGTTCAAACACTCTAATGTGGGAATGGCGACATCTGATTGGTCAGCAAGAATTATCCTAAGATGGTTGATAACATTTAGACAGTTTCAGCGGAAAAGGCGTAGGAATATAGTCACCAATTCCTGAATGTTTTGATATTAAAATACAGCACGTTTCATTGGGCGAGACGAAGTGTCAGCATTTTTTGCAATATTTCAATTGCAAATTACGCAAATGGGAGTACTCTGTGAAAGGTCGTCAAAATGTCAATCTTTGTCAGCCTAACGGTGTTTGAGGTCGTCTCCATGTTGTAGTGCGGGTAACATGATCAACATAATAAACCCTGCCATGAAGATCAGCCTTTTGTTCCCAGCTGGAAAAGAAAGGTAAATTACTGGCTTAGTGATGATAGACTATATACAACTATTATAGATTCGGTATCACTCACGTCACTTGGCCTCCTTTAATGTTCCTCATGGTTGGAATGTACGAACCTAAAGTGAACTAAATTAAACTCCCTGTAGGTTATACTAAATATGGTCCTATCAGTTAATTTCCAAGCTGTTACTACTTTATTATTATTATTATTATTATTATTATTATTATTATTAATTAATAATAATAATAATAAAGTACAGTAGTAACAGCTTGGAAATTAAAACTGATAGGACCATATTTAGTATAACCTACAGGGAGTTTAATTTAGTTCACTTTAGGTACAGCAGGAGGACGCCTAAATCAAGCTAACTTTATACAATTTATATGACATACTGGATTACTGTCTTCATTTCCCCAATGAGGAGGAAATCTTTATTATAATACCTACCCAGATGGTAAATTTTGATTGGCAGCAGCAACTTGTGGTGGTGCTCCATTTACTGCAAACAAAACAAGGTTTGAATAGAAGTGAAACACAATTCTAATTATACAGAAAGACATTGGGCAATCTGCATTGAACGTAGAATTCCAACTTTCCAGCGATAGCCCATAGTGGTTGCTTTCAAACCAAAGTTTGAATGTAATGGCATAAAGAAAAGGAAAAAAAATGTTTTATTTGCTTCTTCCTTGGTTGCTCAAGTTGTCAGTCTAAACTTGTTACCGCCAAGCTCATTTTGTTGCAACTAAGCTCGAACTTTCCCCTCACGAAATCTCGTTACCTCAGACTGGCCAATGAATCATAGTAATCATTAATAGTTCGCCCCCCCATCGGTTTTCTAGATAATTTTATTAACAATATTTTTTTAAATTGAAAAATCCGCTTACAATATCACTTTTAATCACAAAATTATCAATTTCCAAAAAAATATTATGTTAGGCATGTTATGAGTATGTTATTATACGTAATTAAACTTCAATTTAATATATAATTCAACCTGCACGAACGGCAAACGCTTCGCAAAAAGGTTTTAAAATGTTCTTTAAAACTAAACTGCCTTTTTACATCGTTAAACTCAGTTGAGTTTAAAATAAAATTATTTCAAATTCTTGCATCGGCGCATGAAAATAACTTTGCTTTCTTCTTTATTTAAAGTTTAAGACAGGATAATTAATAAAAATACACTGAAATTATATGCATTATTTTTAAAGCAATTGTAAAGCAAAAAATACATCAATATTTAAAACAAACTTACCGTTCATTGGGTTTAGGGCCGTAACTAGACGCGATAATTGGGGGGGGGGGTGAATATTCATATATCCATGTTTACATACCGTAAAAACAATCGCTTTCAAACTGAAGAACTCAGTAGGGCAGAACACGAATATATGAATATGGACCCCCCCACACACAATTATCGCGTCTAGTTACGGCCCTGATTGTTTATATGAACAAATAAACTGTTTGGCTGCATGCACGTCTCTTAACGCCGTTTCATGTAGTAAACGTCGACGTCTTTGTTCGCAAGTCGTTCGCCTTTTTCTCCGTTGTTTTGCTGGTTTTCGTTTGATTCCATAACTTTTCTTTAATATTTTATTTGTTTAATTGATTTTTTTAAATTTTTCTCAAAAGAACCCTTGTAAAAGTCAGATTAAAAAGCAGATATATTTTCAAACAGTGTTTATTAATATGATGATGATGTCGTAATGCAGTCATCATAAAGCGAAGTTTAAATTTGACCAATCGGTGTTCGTCATTTCCATGACAGCCCGCTATTTTTTTGAGATCAGTGGGAGGTCCGCCCTTGGATCATGGCCAGACGCCCGCGATGTTTGATGAACTTCACACTTCGCTAATTCTTTCCTTTTCCCCGGGTGTAAATAGCCAAGCGGAATTAGCACCCTCGCCCGGGCTTACGCACGGAACGGCGCTGTGCGGCGTTGGCTGGGGGGACAAATCTGATTGAAAGACATCTGTTAATTAAATTATGTATATATAAATAAATCTGAATTTTTGAAAATATATATTAAATTTTACCTACCTACATTCCCCAGATCATTCAGATTTATTCTGTCAACAATGGTTTTGATTAAATTTGCCCGGTATTCAATATTACCATTATGAGCTGGCTGCATCAACTTTGGACATTCCTTCTCGATGTCATTGGCATTCACCTCGATTTTTTTTCCAAGCGATAGGATTTCTTCATCACTACCATTTTCGACCAGATTCTTCGCCAAATCCAGTGAGCCGTTTACCTTCTCCACATAGGCTTTCATGTAGTTGGTTTGTTTGTCAAGGATTTCGTTGACCAAGCGGTAATTCTCGTCAACCTCATCAAACAAGACTCTCGTTTTTATTCCGAGCTGCCGAGCAAATTCGTTCAAAATTTCCTCATTTTGCTTCAAAATGGCCTCTCTTGCGTTCTTGGTGCTGCCCTCGAGGAATTGGGCAGCATCTTTTATTTTTTTCAAAGTATTCTGAGCTTCGTTTGATTTCTTCTGTAACATGTGAGACGTTATCTTCAACGATGTCTTGTGTTCATCAGCGACTTTGTTAAGTGGTTGGCATGAATGATCAGGTTTGGGATGGTCTAAGACGGCACAATTAATACAAATCAGTTCCTGACATGTATCACAATAAAATGCATAGGCTTTCTTCTCATGACCATGTTTCTGGCAGTGGAGCTTCTCTTTCGATTTAGTCTGATTTCCAGGTTTTGCTAGCTCTTCCAAAGTTAAAACAACATGGTCATTGAAATCATGCCAGTTGTTGTGTGTTGTCAGGCAGTTCTTGCACAGATAACGTTCACAATCAATACATCGGCATGCGGCAGGTAGTTGAGCTCTGCAAGATTCACAAGATAGTTTATGAGCTTGTTGTTGTATTTTCAATATGCCCAGCATGTTGTTTATAAAATAGTTGGATGGAAATTGTTCCACGCTTTCTCCTTGCTTCAGTTCAAACTGGGTTCTACACTGCGGACAGTTGAACAGATGCTGGGCTGTATGTTCTTGCTGAGCTTTCTCCCTTTGAATTTCGATATACCTTGAAATACATTGTTTACAATATGAATGGAAGCAGGAAAGTGTTGTCGGTTCATTCAAAGTACCTTTGCAAATCGAACATGTCAGTAGTTCTTCCATTTGTTGGATTAGATTAAGATCTTGTGCTGAAGCCATAGCTGGTTAACTTATATTGTATGCCAAATCGTTAGTGGATATTGTGAAGCTTTGTGATGTATTAAATCACCAGCATTATAGCGAAGCCTCATGTGTTGAAAATGAAAGATCGTTCGGAAATTGTATTGCTAAACTGACCAAGAAATATTTTTCTTTGTGTGGAATCTTTACCAAGAATTCATCACACCTATGTCGTTTTCATTCGTTGAGGTATATGAATTCTGGCTGATTTCATTTCATAATTAACATTCTTAGACAAAGACGATTGTTTCAATCAAAGCAGTTTGTAGCGGTGAGGTAAACCGGGTGTAGTTTATGTTTTGTTTTTGACATATAGCCATTGGCACACAACTGCTTCAGGCGGTTTACAGGTGGTAATGTGGTTTCTTTCACTCCAGTGTTAGCCATGAGAATTATGTAAGTGGTGTCGGGCCGTGGTGCCAGAAAAATTAGACATTTGTGACGAATAAACATATCTTCACATTAGCCTTCTTGTGTTTCATCGTTGCAGGCGTATATTCATATCTTGATGCGATCTTGTCTTCAAAAACACCTGCCATCATTTCATATAAACAAACTACAACAAGTTATTGTACTATGTTTTCGTATAATGGAATATTGCGCTTTAATTAAATAAATCCAAATTTATATAGCATTATATAACACCTCAGTAAATTCTGGTATTTATTAGGCTGATTATGATCACGTGATATACGGAATTAAAATTCCGATTTTGCCACGAGTACTATTGCACGGTAAAGTTTTATTAAATTCAGTCATTCAAAAACCTATTGCTATCGCAATCATAGCTCATTACACTGGCCTGTAGGCCAAGTGTCTTAAATCCCCCTTTTTCCGTTTTTTTTTCGTCGAGAAATGGAGTTTGCGTTAGTTCATCGCAGGCTCAAGGTGCAACGTGCTCCAGTGACATATTCAGTTCAGTTTCAAAATGGCGGCTTTTCACTGAGCGATCTAGTATATATTTCACACAGTTTCGTCGAATTTTCAAAGAATTGTGCCGGTTTCGTATGGATTTTACGTTGTGTCGCACTCTGGGCTTTCTTGCATGTTGAATTAGTGTGTTTTTCTTTGTATAACGACTCGAAAACCCCAAAATTTAGACCCAGCGAATTTATACAATATAGTGGAATATAAACAAGGACAAGTTAAAGGTTTGACGGCTATTAGTAAAACACGGAGCACGGAGCACACGGAGCACGGAGCACACGGAGCACGGAGCACACGAAGTACGGAGCAGTAGAAAAACGAAAATCCTTTATAATAAAATACATTGTTTACTATTACAAATTTTTGTTATTATTAATAAAGATTTTTCGCGAAGTTACATCTATTAAGCTTATGTAGTTATATTGTATTCCGATGGCCAACGCATAAAGAAACACTGTAAAGAACAGCCGATATATTTCGTTACTCCTGGCTCTGCCAAAAAATAGCCAAGTACTTATCTTTCAATGTAGCGGATCGACTGAACATTAAAGCTTGTGATGGAGAGAAGTGAATTTTTTATCCTTCTGCCTAGTGTGCTGTACGTGTTTCCTGACTGCCGGACACGTAGTATTTTAAAAATACTGCCCGGCAGCCGCATGTAGACCAGTATTTCGATTCCGATGGAATTATAAAGTTTGATAGTTTAGTCTTTAGATACATGTGATGGATATCTTGACTATAGCCTAAACTAGATAGAGTACACACAACATGCGTTACAATAATGCGTACAACCGTTTACTTTTGGTCCAGTAAGGTAACAAATCGTACAGCCGTTTACTGTCTTTTGAAGTCGAGTACGTGTAAAAAGCATACATTCCCAAATACTTGGTCGAGTATGCATGCATATCGAAATGCACTATTTAGATTCGAGCTATTATTTAGGCCTTCCCGATTGCGCTGGTAAAATCCAAACAAAGTTCTGGCAAAAAGGGCTACAAAGTGCTCAAAAAGTGCTCAAAATCTCAAAATAGTGCTCAAAAAGTACTAAAATTGGAACAGTTTATACCTCTGTAAAGATTTTCGTAAATTTTTTAAAATCAGTGTTTTAAAAAATCTGTTTCCACGTCTTTCTCCATATATGGAACAAACTTCCGTATATGGAGTTGTTTACGACAAAAAAAAGAGAACGCGAAAAAGTCAGCGTTCTAATTTTTTAGCCGTAATGTCATATGCAACTGTACGGCTTTTCTTTTAGAGTTTTACCTAAATTATATATAGAATAATAGTATAATACACGTCAATTTTTAAACCTTACACCGAATTGTATGTTTAGTTAAGGGGTGGGGGATGAATAGGTTTTCGGATCGTCTACAGTATAATATTGTGAATGATTCCGAATATTCAAAACGGATTGAATTCAAAGCAGTAATTATGTACTGTAAGACGGTTTAAACGTAGGCCGTACAGCACACTGTCACTGCCACTGCCACTGCCACTGAGCCGAGGGATAAACCGAAAATTCACTTCTCTCCATCACAAGCTTTAATGTTCAGTCGATCCGCTACATTGAAAGATGAGTACTTGGCTATTTTTTGGCAGGGGTAACGAAATATATCGCCGGGCTGTTCTCTACAGTAAGTGTTTCTTTATGCGTTGGCCATCGGAATATAATATAACTACATAAGCTTGATAGATGTAAGATAACGAGTTTCACAATCCTATTTTAAATACTATGGCTTTTGGCAGTTTTGCATCATATGTGTTTTTCAGTAAAAGCCCCATTTTCCTACTTACCCAACGTGTAAATTCGCGAAAAATCTTTATTAATAATAACAAAAATTTGTAATAGTAAACAGTGTATTTTATTATAAAGGATTTTCGTTTTTCTACTGCTCCGTACTTCGTGTGCTCCGTGCTCCGTGTGCTCCGTGCTCCGTGCTCCGTGTTTTACTAATAGCCAGGTTTGACAGTTTGACCTTTTAATTAACAAGTATAAATATACGTTGTAGGCTCATAAACATGCGTTGTGCTCTTGTATTTATTTGCATAATTATAAATTTGCACCTAATTACATTAATTTGCGCCAAATTACTTTCTAATTCATGATATATTACTATAAAATGTATGTTTTCGATTGTATTCAGCGAGGTGGCGTTGCGTGCGGCGAAGTGAAACGTGATACGGTTCGATTTGTTTTTGGAACAAGATCCAACTTTCCCCCCACTTTTTTAATTCTCAAATTGTTTATTAGATGTTTACTGGTTGGGGTTAGAGAAGGGCTTTGGGTTGGGATCAGTTTATCTTATAAATGGAAGCAAATTGGCGTATTTTTTAGAAGAATCGTCTATGTCTATGAACCGGCTTTTTAGCACCTGAAACTAGCCATATAACGGCATTAAAAATCAAGGATTATATGATTTCTTCGCTATTATTGGCCCGTCATTATTTACGGTTGATAGTTGATTATATAGTTACAGTGGGCCTGGCTCGTCTTGGTATATTATGGTTGATAGTTGCTGATCATGATTGTATTTATTGGTTGTATTTATATATATGATCCAGTATCCCTATGATCCTGTATCCCTATCTACTTCTCTACTATACATTACACCCAGTACCTTGAAAGTTGCCATTTTCAGGCCAGTGTGAACGCCTGAGCAGGCGTCTTGTTTAACTATAAATCTATAATTTTCTTTTGGAATTGTCCTTTCAACTTGGCTGTCGCCTTGCAGGAGAGAAAATTCGATCTTTCACATCACGGAAATATTTTTACTATTGCACGAATGAAAACATTCATTATTTGTATATTCATCGATAGCAAGCGGTTCTGGTGTTTTGTCTAGCGTCACAAAGCTGCTTAGCAAACAAGCGCCAGCGAACGCATTTTAACTTTACACGAACAGATTCCAAGTTTATACGATCTGATGTATAGTAGGCTAGTCCCCGAGCCAACGGCACGGAGCGCCATTCTGGTCGCAAGCGCGGGGCGAGGGTGTTAATTCCGCACTTTTGACCATCAGTCTTTAGTCCGTCGAGGCCGTATATATGCCTCCCTGTTGAAGTATATTCGTTGGTTCTTTTTTTGTTCGTCTGATTTGGTCTGACTTTGGGTCGGGATCTGAAATATTGCTTGTTGTTGGTAGGAGGGTTCTTATGCGCCATTTGGCCAACAGCAATACTATTCTAAAACCAATTTTCACTTTAAATTTTAAAACAAAAACATCAAGATCATTCTAAACAAAATAAACAGCCTCGTACGTACCATGGAGGCGCTAGCTTTGAATTAATAAAATTATGTCTCCTTTTCCTGACTTGATAACATATTAGAAATACAACGCATGTTGTAAATAAGTTATCTGTACCAGATGGAGTGTCTACCAAGTTACATTTGATTGTTGAAAACTAATAATAATTAGATTTATAGTGCAAGTCCATGGCGAATTGTAAGAAAGAAACTACCATTGATCACATGAGAAGAAAGTTTAAAAGTTAATTATTTACTTATTGTAAATGTAGAAGTTATTTCGAATTTGAAATGTTCTCATCTGTTTGATTAGATATAAGTAAGTTTTTATTAGTATATTTGAAATACGTACAAGGTTTTCGGCGTATGTCGTCTCATACACTATACAGGGTGTATAAAAAAAAACGGAGTCCAACTTTTGTGCTTAATAACTTTCGGACTGCTACTTCTAATAAAACGGTTTTAGGCTTATTTTAAAGCCTGTTCATTTATCTTTCGACCAAATGGTCATCCGTGTCTTTAGTGCAAGTAATAAATGCACAGGAGAAAATTTAGTAAAACCTACCTAGATGCCGCTTAATTATACAAATTTACTGTGTTATTCCATAGTCGGTTGCAATGTTTGAATTTTCTTGTTCAAACTTTAATGTTCTTGTTGCCACATAGGAAAAACTAGGGTGTCTGTAAAAGGCGGAACCCACTCGGAACACCCGGAACCCCACCCGGAACACCCGGAACCCTACCCGGAACACCCGGAACCCTACCCGGAACACTCGGAACCCCTCCCGGAACACCCGGAACCCTACCC